TACACAGAACTACAACTACTCTCTCTCTCGTCTCTCTCTCTCTCTCTCTCTCTCTCTCTCTCTCTCACACACACACACACACACACACACACACACTCATGTTGAACTTCTCAAGGAAAAAAACAAGGCAAAGCTGTTTGAAAGCTACCTTCTTTTACGAGCAATGACAGCATATTGCTCACCACCATAGACTGCACATGCCAAAATGAATAGTTCACATAGAACAGCTGATGGTGGATTCATCAGTGTCGTTTTCTCGTCTTCCCTTTTTTGTCTGTCTTCCCCTCCCCTCCGCCTCCTGCCTTCCTAGCTGCAAAGTGGAATCAACTGCCTGCCTCTTCCTTTTCTTCTTCTTCATGGTAGACATGGATCAACCACATTAGCAATCCGTGCGTATCACATACTGTTATTCAGGAGGAAAGAATTCTACAAATCAGGGTGCACAACTTGAATGTGGTTGGTGGTGGTTTGAGATAAACTCATGGTATGCTTGTTTTACTGGGAATTCTTTTTAATCAGCAAGCTATAGCAAATAAGTATATCTGGTTGCTTAGTCATTGTCATCTTTCTGAAATGCCTTGCCTATGGTATCATATTGGTAGGTTGTGTTGGCGTTGATACGAACTTAAGATTACTACCTGGTAACTGGTATACTGAATCTGAAAGATATATACTTTGGTATGAAATAGAACCTCAATAAGCTGCCTCCATGCTGGAAACTGTTTATTAGTTGCTGAATTTATTGTTTGCTTATCTTATGATTCCCTTGTTTTGATGCTTTGCTCCTGTAGATTTTGACTGTATGAAAGATTCCTTCATCTTTCTTTTGGGTCTCTTGGACAATTTCATTAGTTGCACTTATGAAGTGCAAATTCATTGAGAAGTTGTTATTTGATTTCTTGCGTCTAACAAAACACTTTCATGATTGCACAGAATAATTCATCAACTTATGCTCCTCTAAGTAACCCCCCATGTCCAACGCTTTTTGTGGCAAATCTGGGTCCCAACTGTTCTGAGCAAGAGTTGGCTCAAGTTTTTTCAAGGTTATAAGCTATCAATGTTAGTTATGTTTGCTTTTCAGTTGCTTCTTTTTTTTGGCTATTGTTTATAACAACTCTGGTGTAATGTTCAGATGTCCTGGGTTTATAAAACTGAAAATGCAAAACAAGAACGGACTTCCTGTTGCATTTGTTGATTTCCAGGTACATGTGATATTACCTAAATTTGTATTCTTACAATATGGAGGTATCTGATGTACAGGTGTTTGGATCATTTTCTAATTTGTGTTTTTTTAATTTTTATTCTTACACTATTGTTGATAAACATAACTGTGCTTTGTGAGCAGACTTAGCTTTAAATTATTATACTATTGTGCTTTTTTTTTGTTATGAGCACGATCTTGCTTTGTTCCATTAAATTTGAATTAGAATATGCTTTTTACAGGATGTCAATAGTTCCACTGGAGCCCTAAATCATTTGCAGGGAACCATCTTGTATTCATCAGTTGGGGAGGGCATGCGCTTGGAGTATCCTTCATACAAGTTCTGCCTAAATTCTTGTTGTTATATATTTGATACGAGCAGGACATTCTTTTTCTTAACAGAAAAAACCTAGGTATGCAAAATCACGAATGGGTCTCCGAAAACGTGAAAAGAGGACATAGTTTCCATATAAATCTGGAAAAGCTTTAGAAGATTCTGCGTCCCTTTTTATTCATGTAAGTTTATGCTTCATCTAGATTCAAGTTTTGCACTCGGAAGATCTGATTGCATTGTTGATGAATTTGTGACTTTCTAGCACAAATTAGCTGTTGAATCTACTATTATCAGCAACATCAACTTACAGGCACTGCTCAAGCATAACTAGAGCGAATCAATGTGGTTAGAACTATCTAGCTCTTGTTCTTCCGGGGGATTATCTATAGTGTCCTGGTGTTTGTTGCCATACTGTTTTCACCAAAGATGAACATATGAATCATTTTTGACTTGTTTTGTGATTTGCAAATGTTTTTCATCTAGGTCAAGCTGGATCCACATGAATACAAACAAATGTGGTTTGTAGGCACATGGTAAGACAGTCAAAAGGGACAGATACAATCAATGTACCCATCCATATGCACATCACATGGTTTTGGATGAGACAACTATATTGCAAGCATTAGGTTCGATCCAAGCAATCATGTCAAGTGCCCATCCCATTCTTTGTCTCTGCAGCCAGGCATCATGTGTTTGTGTTCTACCCATTACCTTCCCCAAAGGCAACAATCTGTCTGATGCTTCATCCTACTCTTATTCTATCTCAGTAAACTATTTACTTTGTTATTGTATCCATCGAGGAAGCTATAAATATCAAAACAAAATTTATCTGTCATATTTTAGGATATTATTAATATATATATAATTCATTTTTATTGTTTATAAATTAAAAAAATGTGATTAAACTAGTTGATTTATCGGTTTAATTAATAAACTGATGACTAGAGATTTGATTGGACCGATGCTCGGTTCAATTATGATACTAACGATGTTTGACATGATTTGAGTATTTATTTTAAGACCAATTAGTGAGTACTTTGAAGTATCGATCGTCCTAAACTTTCGTTAGTCCCATTCACATGGGTTGGAGTGAGCTTCCAAGTTGATGCTACAATCATTATGGATCACATGTCGAGCAGGTCCACGCTTCAGCATCGTTCTCATGGAATGAACCGATTCCAATTCCGGCCCCACTGTGAACCGACACCAAACTTCTCCTCCCGACAAGCAATCCACCTGTGCCTATGCCATAGGGAAGCCAGGAGTCTCCTGCTTCTCCCGCCACATCCGATCCCCATTCCTCCTTGGCAGGCACCTGCACTGTCACCACCGCAGCTTTTGCTCTCCCTTGGTCCCTCCGACCTACGGACTACGTTCCACCGAGTGCCAGCTCTTCCATTCTCTCTCTTTCTCTTGGACCGTAGAGAGGATGAGATACACTGGTACTCGTGCATAGATTTGCTGCTCCACCGTAGGAGAGAGAGAGAGAGAGAGCATAGGATCTATGACTCCTACGTGAAGTCTGTTCGTAGTAATTGTTGGATTCGCTGTCGTGTTACACGACGTTTATCTTTTCACTGCGCTCCTCTCATTGCCCGATTCATCTCTCTCTCACTACGTTGCTTTCTCCCTTTGCTTTATATTTCTTACGTTCACGTGACAACATGTCCCCTCTTCGCATCCTACCCACTCTCTCCTCTTTGTTTTGTCCCCTTCTGCTCTCTCTCTCTCCCGCAGAAACATGTCGCCTCCTCTCTCTCCATCCAACAAAAAGAAGGGAAGAAAGAGGAAGGGAGAAAGGAGGAAGAAAGAAAGCGATCCGTTCTAGTCCTCCTAACGCATGGCAATGCAGCAGCGGCGCGTGCATTGCATTCTCGGATTCCCTCAACAACTACTGTCGTTATTACTATTATTACACTCTTTGTTCGTTTCCCATTGTGTTGGTGATGGGTTGACGTCCGAGAGGGCCTCGCCGGAGGCCGACGCGCAGGCGCTTCTTGCGTTCAAGGCTGCTGCCGACCCGCGCGACCGCCTGACGTTCTCCCCCACGTCCGATCATTGTCGTTGGCCCGGCGTCTCCTGCTCCGCCGACGGCAAGGTGTACCGCCTCCTCCTCGAGTCCGCCGGCCTCACCGGCACGTTCCCCAACGGCACCCTCGGCCGCCTCGACCAACTCCACTTCCTCAGCCTCCAGGACAATGCCCTCGTTGGTCCTCTGCCGGGTGACCTTTCCGGCCTCCGCAGCCTCAAGGCACTCTTCTTGGACCGCAACCTCTTCGCCGGCCCCTTCCCGGCCTCCCTCCTCTCTCTCCGCGGCCTCCGGGCTCTCGACCTCTCCCACAACCGGCTCTCCGGCCCCATCCCCGCGGCGCTCGCCACCCTGGACGGCCTCATCGCCCTCCGCCTCGAAGGGAATCGATTCGTCGGCTCCCTCCCCGCCTTCAACCAGTCCTCCCTCAAGAGTTTCAATGTCTCCGGCAACTTCCTCTCCGGCGCGGTGCCCATCACCGCCGTGCTCGCCTCGTTCGACCCCTCAGCCTTTGCCGACAATCCCGGGCTCTGCGGCGCGCTTGCCCGAAAGGAATGCGCCTCGTCCGCCTCCTTCTTCCCCGGAGGAGGCCGCTCGCCAGCCGCATCCGCCGCCGCCCCCTCGCCCATCGCCACGGCAGCGCCTCGCGGGGCGACGCTTCTTTCCAGCTCGGCTTCGCGGTCGCGGGTCTCTCACAAAAGTGCTGTGACGGCGATTGGGTTCTTGATAGGTGCAATTGCACTGGTAGGGATCTTCACGACTTCATTTGTCATCAGAAAGAAGAGGACGAAGCAGCAGGGGGAGATACTCACGCTGGAGAAGAACACTATGGATAGCGCCACCAGTGTCTCAGAGATAAATGTGGAGAGCTACAACGAGGAGATCGAGAGCATGAGCAACGAGCTGGAGGCGGCGGCCGCATTAGCAATGGCGATCTCAGAGGAAAGAGTGAAGAGGCTGAGCATGAATGGCTGCTTAGTGTTCTGCGCCGGAGAGGCTCCAATCTATAATTTGGAGCATCTGATGAGGGCCTCTGCCGAAATGCTGGGGAGAGGGAGCCTCGGATCAACGTACAAGGCCGTGCTGGATAGCAGAATGGCTGTCACCGTGAAAAGGCTGGATAAAAAGAAGCTGGGATCCATGGCAAAGGAGGGTTTCGAGCGGCAAATGGACATGGTCGGGCGGCTCCGGCATCCCAATTTGGTGCCTTTACGGGCCTATTTCCGATCGAATGATGAGAGGCTGCTTGTTTATGATTTCCAGCCTAATGGTAGTCTTTACTCCCTTATACATGGTATGATTCACAACACTTGTATTGTTTTCATCCCTAATTTGCATTCTTTTTCTTGTTGTTGCATCTTTTACAAGTCATAGATGTGCTGCATACTAATTTAGAATCATTAAGAGAAATAAGGTTGGTGTTACTCTTTTCTTCATATTGTAGATTTATATATAGTCAATCCTTCTTTCATAGTCGATTAGTGAAGAGTGACATGTTGGATACAACACTGCCACGTGGTGACACGTGGCTAGTAGGCTGATGAGCCGATGGGTCGATCGCCAAAGAACACAGGGATCACACATGGCTGGTAGGTGGTGGTCGGATCGTGAGATACGTGCTCACCACAGGGTGATACATGGCTGAACGACCAATTGTCCGAACTCGTGATTGGTTTGGCCAGCCTATGTGGGTGCCAGGTTTGGCGAACATCTCGCCATGTCTTCGCCCAAAAACGTTGTAAGTTTCTCTCTTGTCGTCCGCGATTCCAAGCATAACCGTTCTCAGAGTCACCTATAAAAGGGACCCCAAGGTACGTTCCCACGACACTACTTCACTTCAGTATTGGTTGATCGGTTTGACCAGTTTGATTGGATCGAACCTCAGAACTGACTTGATCGTCGGAGAGGCATTTGTTAGGAATGCCCCTGATCTAGTTTTGTAGATTCAGCACTCTGCAAACAGTGACCTGGAGTGAGACTAACTTGGAACGAACATTGGTTGGATTCGAATCACCATCCTAGTATGCATAGTGAGACTAACTTCATTGGTTGGATTTGGCACTCTGCGGACAGCCACAATCTGCACTAGCAATAGTGAACCTGTAATGCTAGTATACAAAACAAATGAAGTTACCAGAGGTTTCTGCAAGGGAGTGGCTTATGTCATAAGCTATGTTTGTTAAACCATGGTCGGGGAAAGATTATAAACTGCTAACTTTGATTCTGTGATGAACTAGTGATGGATATCTTAAGTGTTCTTTGCCATTTGTTTATTGATAAGACATACTATGAGAAGATGCTGGTCATATTTGACAGCAAGAAAATTTTGTGACTAATTCGCATGGTAGAAATTTGCACAGGGTGAAGAAAGGATAATCTGGAGATTATTGTTAACAACAATCATCATAAAAAAGGCAAGCGATATTATTACAATATAATTAGGGATCTGCCAGCATATAGAAACTCTGTTGGTGAACTAATAAGAGTGAGCAGAGAAAAAGGATGTATTGAATTAAGAAATCATTGCAGGAAGTTGGGAAACTCTGTTGAGAGCTGTCGTGTACTGTAATTCCAAGGACTATAGGAAGTTAGGAAATGAACTCCAAGAATGAAGAATTTATCCCTCCAGAGAAAATGGAGGGGAATATCCCAATTCTCAGGAAAATGGTGTAGGTTGTTGAACCTCAGGTGATGTGCAGGTATGGAATATATCCAAACACGACACGTTTGCGGTAGAAATTAGCTCGATAATCCTACTGTCTATTAGACCTAATCTGATTAAGGAACTAGTGTTGATGGTAGAGGTTTGCTTTATATACAAACTTGAGATCAAGAATTCGAAGCCAAATCCTTTAAGAGGATGATGCCAATCAAATACATTCTATCAATGGTAAGTTTCCATGGGAAACATCTTGCGGACTCCATCATTTAATGTTGAGGGCTTTACTGATGTCCAGATTCAAGATACTAGAACCTCCTCCTTTTCTAGACTTACAAACAAATACCAAGACCCCAGAAAACTGAAACCTGCACGTCAATAGAAATTTCTCATAGTCGCAAAAATTTAGGACTGATAATAATAGGATACAAGTAATAACTCTGTTGATGTAGTAAAAATCATGCCACTTATCTTAGTCATCTGTTTCATAATAGTCGACCAATGAGGCAAATTTATGCTGGATTCTTGTTGTCAATTGTGCATCCTTGTGCCCTTCTTTGTCCATCTTTTTGCACTCTTCAAATTAATTCATTGCTTGTGTGTGTGTGCGTGTGTGTATGAAAACTGTTCAAGTGATTCATGTTTCTTGCTGTATGATTGAACTGAGAAGTTTGATCATTATTACAGGTTCAAGATCCACACGGGCCAAACCCCTTCACTGGACTTCATGTTTAAAGATAGCAGATGATGTGGTTCAGGGCCTTGCACACATCCATCAATCTTCTTGTTTGATCCATGGCAACATAAAATCTTCCAATATTCTCCTAGGATCTGATTTTGAGGCTTGCCTGACTGACAGCTGTCTCTCATTTCTCTTGGAGCCATCAGACAATCAGAATGACTCGGGATATCGAGCACCTGAAGCTCGGAATTCCCTTCAAGAGCTGACCCCAAGTTCTGACATCTATGCTTTTGGAGTGCTGCTGTTGGAGCTCCTCACGGGGAAACCCCCATTGCAGCATCCGGTCCTCATACCACCCGATCTCCCAGTTTGGGTTCGATCAGTAAGGGAAGATGGAGCCTGTGATGAACGCCTTATGATGATAATCGACATTGCAGCAGCCTGCATTCACTCTTCACCAGAATGTAGGCCAACCACATGGCAGGTTCTCAAGATGATACAGGAAGTGAAGGAGACTGACACAGGAGACAATGACACTGATTCAACCTTCATATCTTAGTTGTGGCTATTCCTTATAGACCTTCATATGGAATCTACATCTTGTGCTGCCCAAAGGTAAAAGTTGCCCATTGTTGGTACCTTTAAATGTAATATCAGCCCTCAGCATAAGAGGATATGCCAAAGGTTGTATAAAGTTAATTTCTCAGGAGCCAGCTTCCATGTTGGGGGAGAACCTTGAAACTGGTTATTGTAGATACAGCTTGAGAGACGAAGCTTGTAAGCGACGCAACTACAATTTACCTTGTACTTCTGCTACATATAAGCCAAACTTTTGGATTGAGGCTCCAGTAAATGTCAAACAGGTAAGCAGTCTTGTATCAGTGGTCAGTTTGGTGATTGTAATTTGCGATCTTTCAAAATTCTTTTGGTGATGATTATTGCATGGTGTTGTGATGAAAAAAAAAGAAGAAAACTTATCGATGCCTTCCATAATGTTGAAATGCTTGTTTCTGGTCATTGTTCTGTTTTTAGTTTGAAGTGTCATCTTAAAGTGAAAACAGAAAAGATAAATATTGTCGCCTAATGGGCCTTTTCTTGAACTGTTTTGTACAGTGAGACTCATTAGTGATGTCAAAAGAAAAGTATGCTATCTTTTCTTTTGTTACTGGAAATTATGAAACATTTATGTTGCAAGATCATTCAACCTTAATGTTATTTCTTCCATGAGTGCACTCTTTATTTCTATGTCATCCATCTGTCTCTAATAGCCACTTGATTTTATCTTCTACATCTGCAATGTTCTGTGTAGTTTCAATTGGCACATACAGATGTTCTTCTTTCATTTTTCATCATCAAAATGAAATGAATCTTACACCATTTCTTGCTGGTTTCAGGCATAAACAAGCTTGACTAATACATTCCATGATGATGTGCTTATTATGGGATGCATGTATGATTAAAAAATATGTTCTTTCTAATCATTTAACCCTTGTAAAAAACTCAGCTGCATGTCACACTAATTAACCTCTATCTGATCAGTTTTCCACCTGATTTAAGGATTAATCAACAGTCTTCGCATTGACATTGTTGCTGATAGGTACAGTTGCTTAGAATATTGACCTGAAAAGGACTGTCTATGTAGCAATTTTAATGGTAAGCCAAAGATTTTGAAGATGTTAGAAGTCAATGGTCAAGATGTATGAGTCCTGAATGGATGATTTATAGGTAATTCTAATTCATCCTCCTCCTTTTGATACTTCATTAGTTTAGGGAGGCATCTCTACTTCTTGATTATTTGGTTATTAATCCGATATAACAAAATCAATTCGACTTCTCAGAGAGTTATGATTTGGTCGAGGGAGAATTTTTCTCAAAATAATAAAAATATATCTGCTTCGATCAAAGTAATAAAAATATTATCAAGTTAACATTTATAAGCATGGATAGATGTTTTATAGAGTATTGATTTTGTTACCATCGTCGATAATAAAATATTAAAAATCTTAATTAAAAAATATTTTCTTTAAATATCATCATAATATGATTTAATTGTCTCGCCCCCTCAAGAGCTTGTAATGTTCTTTTGTTCAAATGGACGCATCATATGCCCCTTTTTTTTTTGTCTTCAACAAATATATTAAATAGAAATGAACACTTTTAATGTGTCAGACATTTTTGAACATATTTTTTTTTATCATGAATATATTTTTCTATCATGAGTAGAATAAGAAATATTTTGGTTATGTTAGGTATTTTGGATGTTTTCTTATGTTGTATCGGTGCATCACTCAAGAGGGGACGTTTTAATCTCGTCCATTGCATTTGATATTTTAAATATGATGAATGTATCGTATACAAAAGAAATATTTTGAATTATATTCGGTGATATGATTTTATATCGTATCACATGAATCTTTTATTAATATATGATGATAAAAGGTCCTCTTGCTCGGAGTGATCTATCAATGAAATAATAATACCGACGAAAATATTGAGTTCCAATAAAATAAGGTTAACAAAGATCGACTAAGGCATCAATAATTATGTGTATAATTTGTGGGGCAGAAAATAATATCTTCTTCCTCGAGAGTGATCTATCAATGAAATGAGATCTGCATGAGAATAAATATTGAGTCCCCAAACACAGAAACGAGTTCTATTTGTCTGCCACCACCTGCAGTGTGTGTGTGGGACAGTCTTTGCCTAACCTTTAAGTTTGGAATCTTACAACAGGCAAACAATAGCTCACCAGTTAGGTTGTATCATAATCCAACTCCAACAAGTCACCAAACTGATGCTCTGCAGAACAACACAGGAACACTTGAGGGTCAAAGAAAAGGTCCCAATCTCTTCATGATTATAATTGCAGGTAAAAGGCTTTCAAAAAGTAGGTCCTTTTGTGTTGCAACCTGAGACTTGGATCCATAGAAATGCCAGGAAAAAGTTGGCATGGAAGAGCTGTCTGTTGTACCCAATTTGATGGTGGAAAAGGAGGGTTGTGGTTGCACCTAACTACACCAAAGAAAAGAAGACTTTTGGACAACCAAAATCACCAAACCATGATGATATGAACTGCAGATATTAGATGAGTTTGGATCTTCTTCATTTGATGGAATGGTTTCAGTTCTCAGTTGTTCAGTGATTTTAACTAGCAATGGTGATGTTAGATTGAATGGGACTGAAGATGAATGTATGAAATGTAATTTTAATAGAAACTAAAAGAAGAATAATAAATTTCTCTTAGCAAAAGTTTTGGTTATTCTAGATTTATACTCTATAAAATGAAAAGATCGATGAAAATATTATTCATAAAATAATACATAATTAAAGTGAAGAGAAATATCATGGTTAATATTAATATAAGACGATTATATGCATGGTTTATACATAGCCATGATCTAAGTAGTATATAATCATCGCAAATTATATATTATTTTGCTGAATAGAAAATCCTAATATTTATTTGTATTAATGGGAAACTCAACACTGGATTCTATATTTTCTGAGAAAAAAAAGAAACCTAAATTTAGTTTAGGTCTGTCTATAAAGGAAATGTCCACAAATACATAGATGCCAGTATTGCAGTTTATGGGCAGTGGACAAATACATCAATCTATGATTAGATATGTGATGGAAGGGTTTCTATCAGTTCCAGTGTAGAATGCTTGTATCAGCAGCAGAAACTTCTTTCTCTCAAATCATTTGCCTGCAGTAAGCAACAAGGAAAAGAACCCTCCTCCTAAACCTCTCTCCTTGTTTGCCTTCCTAATCCTTGGAATTAGATTCCTTCGACACCAAGAATGTCACAGTGATGGCCACAACCCATCTTAATTTGTCTCACAATCCATTTCCTTTCTTCCCTGTGCTTTATCTGCTGATGGCCACTTCCTATCCAATTCCTCTGCCTTTTCTCTCTCTCTCTCTCTCTCTGAGCATATAATATAATAACACAGGGAACCACCATAACCAGCAGCTGCTCACAGTTCACATCTCCCAACTCTCCATCAGTCCAACAACAACAGCAACAACTCATCTCTCCCCATTTATCAGATGTTCTAATTGCAGGTTTTCTTATATTAAATAATAATAATTATAACAAAGTTGGAATGAATATATAGGACAACAAGTAGGCAACAATAGCAAGTCACCATCCTCTCTCCTCCTTCCCCTCCTGTCCCACTTCTCCCTCTTCTTTTATAGAGAGAGGGAGGAAGAAAAGAAAGAGTTGGATATAGCAGTGGTTTTCTTTGTTCTCCAAGTGAGGTGAAGTTGCAGGATGAAGGGATTTAGCAGCACAAAGTTGATATTTCTGCAGCCATCATCCACCAACAAGCAAGGCAGTGGCAATGGCATCACTACGTCCATCTCAATTTTGGTCTCCCACCACCACCGCGTTTGGCTCATCGCCTTCCTTACCTTCTTCACCTTCGCCTCGCTGCTCACTCTCCTCAACACCACCACTGGGAGAGGTTTGAATGGTCTCGCCTCCTCTACCTCCTCTGCCTCCGCTGTGACATCCTCCAGCTCTGTCTCCTCTGGGCCGTCGCCGCTGCCGGCTCCCGTCTACGACGCGCTCGTCAACTACGCGGTGTCGTCCAACTCCACGGGGAAGATGACAGAGGGCGATCTACGGGCGATCGCGGCGGTGCTCCGGCAACGGGGGCCCTGCAATCTCCTCGTGTTCGGGATCGGGCACGAGACGCCGCTGTGGCGCGCTCTCAACCACGGCGGACGCACCGTGTTCGTGGACGAGAACGAGTACTACGTCGCCCACGTTGAGGGGCGCAACCCGGGGCTGGAGGCCTACGACGTGTCCTACACCACCAAGGTCCGCGAGATGCCGGAGCTCATTGCCGCCGCCCGCCAGCACCTCCGAGGAGAGTGCCGGCCGGTGCAGAACCTGCTCTTCTCCGACTGCCCCCTCGCCATCAACGACCTCCCCAACCAGCTCTACGACGTGGCCTGGGACGTCATCCTCGTCGACGGGCCCAAGGGGTTTTCCGCGGCGGAGCCTGGGCGGATGTCGGCCATCTTCACGGCCGCCGTCATGGCCAGGTCCAGCGCCCGGGCGCCCGTGGACGTGCTTGTGCACGATTACACCCGAAAGGTGGAGAAGCTGTGCAGCGCCGAGTTCCTCTGCCCAGATAACCTGGTGGCGGCCACCCGCAGCCTTGGCCACTTCCTCATCGGCGGCGGCCCCGCCGACGTGTTCTGCGCCAACCAGACTGCCACCGCCCCCTTGGCTTCCCCCACCTCGTAGTTTGCTGTCTCCCGTTGCTGTGGCATCAGCTCAATTGCTACCATAAGAAAACAAAGGATTAATTAATGAAATGTAGAAAAGCCTTCATTTATTTTTTTCCATTTAATTTTGGTGTTTCCACTATATATATATATATATATATATATATATATATATATATATATATATATATATATATATATATACACACACGATTTTATGATGTAATAGTAAGGAAATTGAGAGCATCTAATTTGATTAAATTATTTTTCTATATTTATTTTTGTCTCGATTTGATATTGCTCTCACAGTCCACATTAAAACAATACTTTATCCGTAAATGTCCAATCAAATGTTATGCCTCAATTGGCATTTCATCCCTTACCACAACTCATCCACTTTAGATCAACAAATGAATGATTGAGATATAAGATAGTGAGTTTCAAGAAACTCTACAAGTTTACTACAGACATTACTATATAGAGGTGGCATCTATATCACCAAGAGAGTGCTGTTTAGGTAGGAAATGCCTTCAGCATGAATAAAATATTTTATTCTTGGCTTCCTGATAATCTGATTATATAACTCATAATATAATTCATATGTGGGTGTGACTTACTGCTTTCAAGTAGGTTTATGATGCATAATTCTTTAGTTTGACCAGTAGTTGCTTCAGATAGAATTCTATCAGACATGGAACTTTCACTTGACCAGTAGCTGTGCATTGGTGCCAACTCAGGTATTTTTCCTGTCTGATTACAAACAAAACAATAAATAAACTCAATCTTCTTCCCTCATCATTTATCGAAAAAAATAATATGTTTCTGCTATCCTTGATAAATTAACTATCAACAGTTATAAAAACTATCATTGTGATTAATTATCATCAAACATGAATAATTATAATAACATTTTTCTTCATTCTAATAACAGAGGATAATATGTTATAATAATAGAACTTTATGAGCAGGGAGTGAAGGATGGTATCCCTCTGTCATACAACCTTAATGATGGATTTTGACAGTTCTGATGTTGCCTGATACACCATGGAAATAGGAGCATCTTTACAGCCCTCTTCCCTGGCCTCCCCTCCCAAGCATGGGAAAAATAAGAGTTCTCAATTAGGATTCATTAACTGTTCTCACAATGCTAGTAGTTCCATATTCTGATGTCAACTATGCCCTTTTCTTTCATTGAAAGCAAGAGAGAAGGGGCTGAATCCAAGAGGGTATCTTGTCCATGTCTCTCACCAATTTTTTTATGTCACCGCAAACCTTTGATGCAGAAATCACACCTGCTACATTCCTTGCAAGACATCATACAACTGTGATCTGACAAAGATTTCTGCAGGGAATGCCTGAGAAACCTGACTATATGAAGTTTTCTAAGATTGAGAGCCATAGGTTCACATCACCTCAGAATGTATTCTTTACATCGAAGTTACTTCAGCAATCTGGTGAATAATTTCTTTTTGGTTGTGGGGTGGGGAAGGAAAGTTCTCTATTTCAAATCAAAGCTGAATTGATATCTGAATTTAAATGCAAGAATCTGAAGCATTAGGCCATGTTAGAAAAACAGCTGGTTGAATTGAAACCATTCATCAGTTTGCTCAATCTTGAGAATCTATTTAGTGTTGCACTACCTTATTTGCTTTTCTGGGACCCATCTCTCATCAATCATGGCTTACTACTTGAGAGCCTTTAGTTAGATACAAGATCATCTGCCTCTATGGAGTTCAAGTTCATCTTGCTGCTAGCATAAAGTCATAAGATACACCAAGAATTGTTGGTAGTAGAACACAGTTTTTACACAATACAAATATGAACATAAATTAAGCAGGAGCAATTGCATAAGAAAAAAATCCTTCCCCAACTAAGCAAAGCACAGTGGTATAAAGAAACTTTTTTTCTTGCAACTAATTACATTAAAATGAATGATGGAATGTAAAGTGAGCAAAGTTGAACTTACTTCCTTTCTCCCTTTTCCATTCTTTTCTTTGCTCTGATGGAGACCCATGAAGTTAGGTTGTTTTTTTCCTGAAGCTGAAACACCTTCTTCTGATCTCTAAGTCATCAAGTGGATTTGGTCCATCTTATTTGACTCCGTGGTCTAAGTCATCTCCTATCCCCCAACTATAGTCTCCGGACTGACCTTTTTTGCTTCCTTGGTGGGTTGTGCCTAACTTCCCCAACTAAGCAAAGCACAGAAGTATAAAGAATTCTAATGAATATGCCAATGCATGTTTGGTCTACAATAAACAAAGTACAAAAATTGCATGTGAATATAGAGCTTCTACAGAGCATATAATTATGTTTGTAGTAGAGGGAATTAGCACCCAAAGCATCATCAAGTTACAATCTAGGAGGGATAAACAACATTTTATTCTTGCAGAAAACCAATGAATAATAAAAATATCAGATTTTACTGCATATGCAAAATATCATCTTGACTCCAATTTTTCCCACAAAAATAGGATGAACTCACAGCTCATTTTCTATCGGATGTTTGGTAAACAAACCACTAATGATTTGATCATCTGTAGTATATGTAACATGAACAGTTTTAAAAACTATGAGGGCGAAAGAATCAAAGATAAACTTGTGTCAAATAATAATGCTATTAAGTACTTTGAAATCATCAATTATATCCATTCCATTCTTTCTAAAACAAAATTGTGGGTTCATTCAACAGGGCTCCACATTGTAGCAGGCCGTGCAGTGTGCCATTCATACTTCCCAGGGGGTATGAGACCAACACAATCCTCAGTCTCATGAACTGCCCAAATGGGAAAAGAAATGTGACCTCTAAAATTTCTTGGATGTACTACATCAACTAGATAATCCAATGATGATTTTGACAAAGATTACAAGTATAACGACTTATTTGTTCATCATCCATTACAGAGCCATGTTTCAGATGTATCAATGAAACACACAGCATAAGAAGAAAAGAACCATAGCAATGCAGATCTAGGCATTCAATCTAGGTTGTGGAAGATACATCACAAAATTACATAAACTCTTCTTTCTAATCAACATTATAATCTGGAGAGAAGAAATTCTAACATTATAATCTGCACTTCTTTCTGCTGAAATAGAAAACAACAATCCAAAATGGAACAAGTATCATTTTTCAGGAGACAATGCAATCATTGCAGCAGAAGATTTCACATCCCAATTAGACAGCTCTATATTGCAATACTAGGCGAACTCAATTCAGATTACTTATTCGGAACTCTTCCAAAAAAGAAAGAGAAAGCAAATAAGAATTAGGAAGAGAAGCAATATAATCAAAGAATAACAAGAAAACCTGATCTTGAGATCAGAGACCGCAATAACCTTAAAGATGATGCTTTTACCAATCTTTAGAGCGAGGTGATTCGCCGGTTATTGCTCCTTGGCGAGCCCTCAGACGGCCCTGATGGCGGCGATGACGGGCGCGGAGAGGAGCAAGGAGAGGACGAGGAAAGACAGCGTCGAGGTCACCGTAGACAGCATCGTCGGAGCGAAGGAATGCGGCGCGGACGTTGCCAGACCAGCCGACGCCGGACAAGAAGACGGCTGCTCCTTGGCGATCGCCGACGAGTAAGATTTGTCCGATCGAGGTATGAACATATTCCCATACGATATACCCTGAATCTTACCAGCTTCCTAATTCGACATATTTGTCAGCACCAATCAAAAGACATGTAGATTCGTGAGTAACATATTGATCTACTTCGGTCGATTGGATCTTGAGGTTTGGTTTCGGATCTTCTCCAGACTCGATTTGCAAATGATCCGAGAAAATTTCAGTATTATTATTTTGTGACCGTTAGATCATGTGTCCCCCAATCTTCAACCATTGATCTCATCCACCGTTTTCGATGGAATAGCTGGATCCATGCAATTCTTGGAGAAGATCCATACACTGGGAATCGAGCAGGCAGAATGGGTGGTCAATGATATTGCCCTAAAGGCATATATCAGATTATAAACTTGGCCTTAGCATTTTAGGTCAAATTAATGAAAGGATAATTATAACATAGTATTGGTAATGAAAGCAAAGGATGATTATAACAGTACATATAAGTTACATGTAGTAGCATTATTAACTTAGGATTAAATATTATATGACAGTTAACACACATTAATTCTAACTTGAGATACATCAATTGTACAATAACATGGAATCACAATGTTGTGGTTGAAAGAGATCTCAATTCCTCTCCAACTAGTGGTTGAAAGAGATGTACATGCTGTAGTCATGCCCATCTTAACATTATTGATGAGGGCAAGGCCACTATCCACTTCACTGGACTTGCAGTGAGAGCATTGCCACATACCCTGTCAAGCTGAAAGATTCCAACCTGATGGATTGTATCATGGAACATATGAACAAGATCCATGCAAGAGTTTATCCAAGAAGAGAAAGAATGACATTCTACCTCTTGACCAAATCACCAGTTCCATGGTCACTTTGGAGCTCATATGGAGAAAGAGTGATGAGACTAAATAATATAAATGCATATTCTTAATCTGTGAAGGTTCTGCTGTTGTTTGAAGATGCTTGTACGAAGCAGTTCATGAACCAAAACTGCTTTGTAGTATTTGACTAATGCAAAGTTGAAATGCCAGATTCAGGTTGAAGATTCTAAACCAAAACAGATGGAATATCATGAAAGAATATGTAGCTGAAAAAGGCTTATGCATCCCATATCCTATATTAAACAGCAAAGTTGCAATGCTAGGAGCTCAAAAGGTTTTAATGATGCAGTATGAGCAGTGGATTTATCTCAGAACAAGCTTGATGTATGTAAATATCAGACTCAATCTCTGAAATATCAGACTCAATATCGGATAGAAATTCATGAATAATCTTAGGCAAAAGAAGGCTAATGTGCACCATATCCAACATTAAGAAGAAAAGTTGCTTCCCACGGAGTTAAATTAAAAGGTTTCATGATTCAGTATAGGCAGCAGATTTGTAATATGACATGCATTACTGAGAACCACGAGATAAGATGGTTAAGGACAAGGAATATATTTTTGTTGTCATTATGACTATATTTCTCCAATATAACTTGAAGAACATCTTCTATCATCTTTGGACATCTCCATGTTGCCTGAAGTACTAAAATTGTGCAGCTTAAGAATATAGAACCATAACTAAACAATTCTGGTGGCTATAGCATGCACCTAAGTGATAATTAAGCTATGCAGGCAAGCAACTATAGGGAACAAAGTCAGCATCTTAGGATAAAATTTAGCAGATTCAACAATCTTGGCTTATCATTGTCTCCAGATCAACCACACATCAACAGAGTCAAAACCATGCCACAATGCAACTCGATCATTTAAGTAACAAGAACAACTTTGCTATCATTATATGTTAATAGTATCACTACAAATATGAAGACCATGGAGAAAAATTTATAGCCAAGATACTTGGAATCCTTTTCATATAATTTACATGATAATGAAAGTGAGGCAATGTAAAATCATCATTCGGTTGGTCCATGATCTATTTAGTCCAACATCTGAGATTATAGACATAAACATGAGCATCAGATCTTGAATAAGCATTGCAGCAACTTGTTGCAGATTTAAGTCCATATTGAAGGCAAGGATAGCCATAATTGGTGATCAACTTGTACTTTCACTCCTCACCTTCTCAATGTTTCCTTATGCACTGCTCTTCTTGCCCTCGGAGCCAGAATTAGCCCAGTAGGGTTTTGCAGGAGTGCGTTTGGAAGCCTTCACACTTAGTGGACTGTTCTTGCTCTGTTAATAAAATCAAATAGACAAGTTAGACACTAAAACATCAATACCAAAACACTTTACAGCAACATAAACAGGCTCCTTGATGTTTTTATGCGTTAAGGCAGTATTAAGTTCTCATAGTAAATATCAGGACAAGCAAAACATGCTGCGTTTCATGAAGAATCACCAGCTCCAGGCCCTGATCTTGAATCATAATGTCTGCAGAGCAAATTTATGGCAGTGAATTTTGAGCATAGGGTGTTACCTGTAGGCAAGTGCCCTCCTGAACATTGCAGATGGGGTAGTCATGGGGACAGCAGCTATAGTGATCTTCACAGCACGTTGCATCCTCAAGAGGGCAACATCCCCAAGCGAAGCAGTACTTTCCATACTCGTAGACGCAGCAGCATGTGGTGCTCTCTTCGCAGGTGTAGTAGTCATCACAGACGGTCGGTGGCTTGACAGGGGAAGGTGGTGATGGCCCTGGGTTTGGTGGATTCTGTCCCTCCTTTATCGGGTATGAAGCCTCCATAGCGATACCACACTTGCCAGTGGAAGATGCAATATTACGTTCCATCCTTATATACCCATCCTCTCCCCAATCTTCACCCCATGAGTTCTTTACAATCCAGTAGTCCTTGCCATTCTCAGAGCCATAGCCGACTGCTGTTACACCGTGATCTAGATCAGTCCCACAAGACCCAGTGAATATTCCCTGAGAAAAATGAAGAGCAAGGTTTATCCAAAATGAAGATCTGCATTGAAGTAGGGACTTCTAGTCTAAAGAATCTTGTACAACTACAGTGAAAGTTCATGCCATCATTAAATGGAACCTGTTTTGTCACTGCAAGGATCGCATCATCTTAATCACTCATAGATTTTCAAGAAGGCTATGAACCATGATTCGAATTCACAATTGATAAAATTGTAATTCTCAGGCCATGCCAGTGAATGCATTTGTGTTGTTTATGGAAAAGAAAACAATTGCATTTTACAAAGAACATTTGCAGTACCTTCCATATCAATCATTATAGATGAAATTATCAACATAGATCCTCAAAAAGGATCATTTCTTTAGTCCACTTTAACTGTCATTTCAAGCAGCACACAAAATTCTTCCAATTAAAAGGATATCTAGAGAAGAAACACATCATGAGTCACATGCAGAAAATTTGACCTACTCAACTGGAAGAGCTAAAAAATTTCGATCTAGTTATATTTTAATTCATCATAATGTGGAAGTATACATCAAGGATGATAAGATAAAACTGCATGCTTTTATGGGTATTGGACTAAATGATCACTCTTCAAGCAATGACAACAAAATTTTAAAAGAATTCCATTATCTTGCAGCATCATTACCGAATCGTAAAATTGGAATGCCCTGCCAGCAGCTTCAATAGCAACACTAACTGGTTGATTAGCAACAGCCTTCTGCAGAGACTTCTCATCATCAACCGGAACATCCTCATATGAATCAATTGTCACAACGTGTGCATTTTTCTGCATGACAAAGGCATGCACCGCCAACCATGGTTAGAACACCATCCACAAAAAAGCAAAGGAAACCAAAGAGACGACAATAGTGGCAAATGAACAATCAACAAGTCACCCTGTAAGTATCGCATCTTCCATCTCGGGCCTTGTATGGGTAGTCCTTTTCGGAGTCAATACCACCGTTGTTGATGATGAACTCAAAGGCATAATCCATGAGGCCGCCATTGCAGCCCTGGTCGTAGGAGGTGTCACAGTCCACCAGTTCCTGCTCCGAGAGAGATATCAGATCACCGGTCACGATCTGGTTGATGCCTTCCACAGCAGCAATGGTCGAAAATGCCCAGCAACTCCCTATAACACCATCAGATTAGAAGAACAGACTACATCATCAGCATGTAAACCGGTGATTGTTTCTTTTCTCACTTCTCTTCTTCCTCATCATCAAACTTAATTTCACACACTTGTGACTTGTGTAACACTAGCAGCAAATAAATCCCCTGAGTTAGCAAAATTGACACAAAGGAAGGTGATGTAGCGGAAGATCATCTAAAAGTCCAGCTAATAAGTCCGGTAGCTTTTAGAAATTTATGTCATCAACAGCAAAATCATATGCTTTCTAACAAAAAGTTTAAACACAAGGAAAGGGGAAATTTTGAGAACTTCACAAAAGAAATGAACAGATCAATCTTTATAAACTATAATTAGACCACAAAATAAAGTGTTCTTTAAATTCATTTGATCAAAATCCATGCTTCTTGTGTCAGATTTAAGTTGATGCTTGAAGCATATCATGATGAGACTTGAGGCCTAAAGAACAAAGAACAAAAAGTTGGAAGTCAGCGCAAGAAAAGTAGTTATCAGCACCTACCGCAGCTGCCTTGGTCTTTAACGCCGACGACAGCGCCCTTCTCCCTCCAGTCTACGGAATCCGGCAGGTCATCGCCGGCTCTCAGCCGGTACCGGTCGCTCCCGGCGGACGAGGCCCTCCTGCGGCGCGACGAGGCGCTGGCCCGGAGGCCAAGGAACTTGGCCCTGTACTCCTCGTTGGTAAGGTCGGCGAACCGGTTGAGGCCAAGGCGGAAGGCGTGCTCCCCGCGGTCGGCCGCCGCGTTGTGCTCGTCGACATACCGGAGGTTGTCCTTGAAGACCTCGAACCGGCTCTCCCCGTTTTCGAGCGCGTTGCGGGACGGCCGGTGCTTGGCCACCCACTCCTGGTACAACAACCGCACCTCCTCGTCGCTCCGCCCGAACGCCTGCGCTCCGTTCCCCTCGCCGCCGGTCACGATGTACAAGTCGGAGGCGGCCGCCGCCGAGGCCAAGAGGAGGAGGAGGAGGATGACAGCCGAAGCCATGACGAGAGAGAAAGAGAGAGAGAGAGAGAGAGAGGCAGAGACGGTGAAGAGAAGGAAAAGGACGAAGCTCTCCGGAGCAGTAGCAGTGTTGTATGGCTTGTTATATAGAACTTTCTGATGGCAAGAATGCAACGGTGAGAAAGCTGCATACGGTAAGAAAGCAAAGAAGGAAGGCGAGTAGCTGTGTACATGATTTTGACCACATGAGAGAATAAGGTAAGTACTTATGTATGTATATATTGTACATATATACTTTGAGATGGGTGTATTAATGTTGTGTCCAAAAGAGAGCAAATTGTTCATTTATTTGTAGGCTAATGGTGGCAGTGGGTTGGGTGGATGAGTGTCAGAAAACTTCAATCCGAAAGGCAGAGAGGTGGAAAGCTTACAGCCAAACAAATCACACCACAATCTCATCCTCGTTGAAACAGGGATAAGTTTTTGTTTCAGAGGAAGAAAGAAATAAAAAGAATAAAGGAAGATGTTGGTGTGCGTTTTATGGACCATTCAAAGTGCAACAAAGGAAGATGTTCGACTCATGCAATGTTAACAGTAGTACCCCTAATGAAAAACTCTGCGAGGCATTTCATCAAACACTTCTATTCATGGAATAGCGTTGACGATAAGAGAGGTCAGATTCCCGGCCGCCTACCTGAAGCAGGATTCCGAGACGGTAGGGCCGGAAGCTGGAATCTTGGACTTTCTCGAGATATGCGTGGCGGATGGCTGCTGGCCGATGTAGAGGTTGACGGCTCTTACTCTGATGAATGATGAAAGAGAAGCATAAATAAATAAATAAATAAAAGCAAATCATTTCCGCTATTTGGTTGCTTCCTATTCATCTAATATAATAATTTGGATTTATACTTTCCCATCCAAACCCTTCAAATAAAAGAAAAGCCATCACCAAGAAAAGCCAAATTGTCATCTATCCATGGATGGGGATGTTTGAGGTGACATTGAATAAGCTGCGGCATGTGGTCGGCTATAATCTGCTCAGGGAAATGTAATGTGAGGAAGGTGACAAGCAGATATTTAGGGATTTCAGAAAGCAATGTACCTGTCAGAACGAGGGTCAAATCCAAGACGGCCCCATTTCGTACTTCTTGCTCATGGCTAACTCTATGCATTAGATTCCTGTTTCCTTGGCTCTACATGTCGCACACTGCTATCTGATAAGAAGAGTGGAAAGAGTTTAAGATTTTTCGAGGCAGTGGCACCTGATATCAGAAGAACGTCTTCTTCATCTGCCTTCCGTGGAGACACTTTCTGGATGAGCCTCACCATGTGGAGATCCTATTTGAACTTTAGCCGTCGATACTGAGAATCTGAAACATGATCAGTAGTCAGTGTCTGTGACAACGAAAAAAGATAGAATTTATTAAGATTGTATCCTGTATACATGTGACTATTAAAAGTAAGATAGTACAAGTGCTACCAGATCGGTGATTATTCGTACTCAATCAATGGTTCGTTCTTATTCTCCAGCTAAGAAAGGTCCATTCAAACACTTGATAAGGATGTGGCACAGCAGACACCAGTGATTCTCTCATGTCTTAGAAGAGTTGAATTCTTTTGTCCAATTATGACCGTGTGGCTAGATATTAGCTCTTTCGATGGAGACATGCAACCCACCAGTCCTTCCTATAGATGATATGTCCTGCTCAAGCAAACACCATTGGAAGCCATTCCCTAAGAGCTATATAGATATATGCTTTTCTGCTGTTTAACCATTGTTTTCATCACAATCTAAAGTTTCATTTCTCAATTTCGATAACTTGGTAAGAAAATTAAGCCCTTAAAAAAACTTTAAAAACCTGAATCACCTCTATCTCAAATGCACCTTTTGAGATCAACCGAAAAAAAAAAAAAAACGGTGTGAGATCAAACCCAAAACAGGTAATTCCTTGCAAGTCCACAGGCTCACACAAGCTCACAACGACCAAAACAAATGATGACTTATCAGATATCTTCTTCATATGTTGCCTCTATCGCCTCATGTTGGTCCCCTCTGCTCTTATTTACTTTACATGACTGTACATGCTTTCCGAACAACTATACTTGCAATTGCTACTTTGTAATTTTTGGTTTTGCCTACAACTACAACTTGCAGGCATTTCCGCTTGCAGGGAACCAAAGCCAAGGCTAACAGCAAGAAGCAACATTGCCCCAAACTGAGGTCCGATACATGAATCCTTTTCCCTCATTAATAATATAATATAAACAGTTCAGCACAAAAAACATTTGTCCTCAGTTGTATCAAACTTTGGAGACGACAAATTAGTTAGTAAGTGTCTGTCCTCTAAAATGTTTAAAAACGTAAGTTCTTGAATATATGCATCATATGTAGCCAACTTCATGTAAAAGAGTAACCGGATTTATCGGACTGTCATGACGTTGTTGGGCCACAAGATCTCACTGTGCTACTGGATACTGGTGTGGCATCAGCCAATTATCTTTCTATTTTCTTATAGAACAAACCAGGCTACCCACTGTAGTTGCTGCCACAAATAATTGATGCATCAACTATGACAGATCAACTCAATTCCTCCATTGTTTCCTGCAGAGAAAGGGATAATGATTAGAGTTTATTATGACTTCATGGTCCATTTTCACTGCCAATGCTTTAAAGTGTACATCTCAAGCATGCCAGTGACATCAATAGAGAATCTAGAAGAGCAATTACATAGCCTCAACAAGCAAAAAGAAGAAAGAAGAGCATAAAAAAATACCTTTTATTTGTTACTTCATATTTTTTTGGATCACTAGTATCTCACTGCCAGGCATATATACATTATTAAAACCAAGAAGTGCTTGCTATGTACAAAACCAAAATTTTATCTGTGAATCCCCCACAAGGACCAAGCATCAATGTCAAGATGCAGTGAACCCTGAAGCACAATGGTTCAACAAACAGCAATTTCATTCTTCACCAGGCTTTTCACGAATAACAGAAAGCCGTAATTTTCCTCCGTAGATCTCACTCATGGAAGCCTGACATTCATGGTTAAGATGGAACGTAGTTAAATCAATATCATATGAATTGATGTGGATGGATATAAAAGAACATTTGCAAACAAATCAGTTTGAACAACATAAAGAGCAAAAGAATTTAACAGAATGCACTGGAATCAATAAGAAGCCGCATGCTAACAGTGTACTCCACATGCTGATCACCTCAACATATAAGTATGAAACAGCAGCTTCATCACAATGGCGTTATACAATAGAAATAAGCTAATTTTCCAAAAGTTATAAGCTGGGTGATTGATAGCAGAGGTACCAAGTGTCAACTTATCTTATCAGATTATTAATTAAAGTTCAATTTCATTAAATTCAGATAGGTCACGATACTTATTCATTTGGTGCCACCTCCAAGCTAGCAACCCCCAAGATAGCCAATAATAATCGTTGGGGGATGGCATTTTGGTTCTTCCTCTATATTCTAAAAGTCTTGTTCTATGCCTTACCTGCCTGGTTGGCCTGAATCTACTAGGCTGAGGACTATGAAGCCCCATCCTGGCACAAGTCAGACCATAGTCTTGTGGCTTATTACATCTATATTCAATTCCAAAATCAAATCCAAATCTTTCATGGTCCCATCCTACCTACATTTTCTTTCTAACAGATAGCACTAGCCATGAGAAGGAATTAGTGAAACTTTTATATTATACTCCAATATTTTAAGACGAAGCACAAGACAAATAGTGTTACTAGAATCAGTTGAGGGACCATGTAACTTTCAAAGCATTTACCTGAAAAAGAGGAAGTGTACTGTTGTATACTCGCAATAACAACTTTGACACCGTAGAAAACCTGCAACAACCAATAATGTAAGGATGGGGAGTCAATAGATCAAATATTAGAAGCAAAACACAAGTGAAAGAAAAATTTGGCAGCCACCTAAAAGACTTAATGATGTATCGAATCATAATAAGAGAAGGTAGTTTAACAACTCACAAGAAGGAATGCTGTGCCAGACAGCACAGATCCACACAACCTACCAAAGATACCAAGGAATGCTGTGACATTGGACATGTAAGCATCACACGGTATGCATGGTGCAACAACAGTTCTAGTCTCAAACTTTGTCATGAGCGTGGAATAATAGGCCACCATTCCGACATCATTACCTTCACTGATACATTAGCATACTAGGCTAGGGCTCTGGCTGTCAAGGATATGAAAAGACAGTCCCTACTCCCAAGGGCATCAGACTGATTTTTGTAAAAGGTCATACGTGAACATATCAGCATAGCCTTTGAAAAAATACAGGGTGAAGACTTAAAAGTACAGAGTAAAATTATGATGTGTTGGTTTGATAGCAAAATATAGACTGCACTGGGCTATGACCTATTCAATAAAGGGATTACATACAAATGATCCTTCTTGTGGATTGGAATATGTGTAAGCTTCTGACCTTGATTGAAGAAACTCTCTTTCAAATTGGGTCTCACATCAAATTCCATATTGTACAAAAGCAATAGATGCTTAAACGCCAATTGTACCAGGAATCTTGCATCTATCCTCATCAAAGTGTATATCATATTCTATAAACTGGATATGTAAGCATGAAGGCACTTATCAAATTCATTTAAGTTAAAGTCAAGAATGCTTTGCAGCACAGATACAACAAGGATGGCTAAAACATGATAAGCATTTGAATATGGACTGAAAATATAGTTAAACAGAAAAACTAATCTTCATAAGGAGTTAAATAAGACTCATACCGTTTCAGAAAACAAAAGCAATTGTAAAGCTCCTCCACATCAGATCCAATCTTTAGAACAATATACTGCGAAATAACCTCATGCAAGCTATGAAGTGCTTCATCATATTCTTCACAACTTGACTCAGAAACTGATGAAAGCAATGGAGTTATAGACTGAAGAATAGAAGAGAGAAGAATATCCTTGCCAGATTCGGCATACAACATAGCAATTGCATTCAAAAAGTAGCTGTTGCTTATCTTGAATTTCTCCACCCAAAATGGTGGACTGCCCAACCAAAGATATGATTTGGTATACCATGGACTGGAATGTTTAACACTGTTTGGAACATCAAACCCAAAAGGAACATCCTTACATACTTTTATTTTCCTGTGAACTGGAAGGAAGCCACATATATCAGCCTTTACATCTTCAGGCAACTGTTCCAGAACTGAAGCATCTGCTTGGCTAAGCGATGCAGGCATTAACTGTTGTGGCCCCATGGTTGAGGTAATATGCAGCTCGTTTAATCTTGAGCAAGAATTGTGTGATTGAATTTTCAGACATGTTCTCTCCACAGACTTAACAAAAGTCAAATGAAGGATCAAAATGTTAGTAGTCCCACAAGCAAATACAACCTGGAATAGCTAAAACAGAAGATATGCACCTTCACATTTTCTAATACAGAGACTTGCGCCTTCTTATTTGGATTCTTACTTCTACAAGGATCAACTGTTTTTGGATTCAAAGTCTGGGATGGTCAAGAAAAGAAACACAATAACCAATAAAGAATAAAAAGGACAACCAGCATTCTGGCAGTTCAATTTTCTACAGTGAAGCATATTTTTATGGACACATCTAAAGGAAACTCATTCAAGACAATTATTTCATCTGTTATACAACATGGCTGAAATGTTTCAATCAGCATAATCTGAACTTAGAATGAAACAGCAGATTAAAAGATCTAGTTTTCTCAAAGAACAGTAATCTCTTGCAAAAGTCTGCAACTAAACAAGAAAAACCCAGAATTATAAGAGAAAGCAAAAAATTAAGTAAATCAGCAAAAATGTTTTTTAAATAATATATCTTCAGCACAAACACTAAAGATACTATTGGTTTTTTCCATTAAATTTCCCCAGTGATTTGATTAGTCTGACAATATTTCTGTGCATTCAATAAAACATAGCACCAACCAGAATAGAACATTCCCGAAATCCCAAGAAAAGCAGAAAAGACCCTACTAGATAAAGGCAACAGTATGTTGGTCAATTTCATTAAGTGGTGCAGAAAGAATATCATAGCTTGAGCAGCCCCACAAAAAGATCTCTCTGCTGCCTAATCTTTAAGGTCTAGGACCTTAGACCCAACTAAGACAGAGAATGCATGGCTGATGCTTCCACTAGAAAAATACTAGATCAATATTAGAGATAGAACCCAACCTGATACTGGGTGACCCCAAAAAAGATTAAGCTCATCAACAAAATAATAGTCGAAAACAAATTAACAGGAGAGAAAAACACAAACCATCTACACATAAGAATAAATTGAACACAAGAAAATGAACCTTTTGCTGGAAAAAACATGAGTAACAGTATACTGTTGTCCGAAGACACACCTCACGAACAGGCAGCTTCCCTTTATCTTTAGCACCTAAATCCAGTTCTGGAGAATCAACATGCCCACTAGCTATGTAACCATCAATAACATTAGTGTCCTCATTTGGCAAGGATACGCTGGAGGAGCATGAGCTGCTGCGGCTACCCTTCTTTTCACTCTTCCTGATAAGATCAGAAAGTTCCCCCTCATAAATATCATCCATTTCCAATACTATATCTCTAGGAAGATCCTTAACTACATCTATATCTAGATCACATAGACGAGGCAATGCTGAGGCTCTCATTTCATAAGATCTGCAACACCTGGCATCCTTATCTGGAAGACAATTATAACCAGTATCACTATCACACAAAGACTTAGATTTCCCCAAATCTTGTTGATTTGAACCATATATGCATCTTGATTGAGGTTCCCCATTAGGCAATGGCAAACCTGTGGCAATGAAGAAGCTACTTGTAAACAGAATCAGGTAAAGAACATTAACAAAAGCAGGAGAGGTACTCTAAAGAGCAGGAATAAGAAACACAAAAAAGTGATAAGCTTTTACCTCCATTATCACACTGTTTATCTGCACAAGTAATTTGTTCACTTTTTTTTCCAGTGTCAACCGTGGAAGAACTGAGCCACGATTCTAGTGCATTGTCCACATGCCCTTTGAAGATGACCAAGAAGCAGAAACAGATATTGCAATAAGTATCACAAATAAAATATACAAAAATGAAACAGGACTTCACATATGTGTTGATTAGTTCTACATCATTTATGAGATACATACATAGACAAGCAAAATTTTTAAAACTTTTAATAATTTCATTAGTAAGTACACATATATGCACCGAATCTTAGAACCCTGTGTTGATTAGTTCTAAAAAACTAAGGTAATTCTGGTAACTTAAGTGCTGGGTGACATACAGCTAAATCTGGTTCAGAATCATGATTTTATCTTAAATTTTGTACAGAGAGAATTTACAGCTTAGTTAGGTACTCCTATGTGTACCATCTAGCAAAAAGTTTCTGAAATATAAATCATGTAGAAGTGTTTTAAAAAGCATTAGGCGCCAAAAGGCGCCCGCTCGACTGAAGTGAGGCGTTCTGAAATATTAAAATATAAAAAATATATGATACAGTTGATAAATATGATTAACAATGCTAACTAGGGACTATTATATGGTAACAGTAGTTAACACTTAATAATAATAATTAAGTATTAATAATATACTATTAATAGTATTTAATCTACTGGTAACAAGAGTTAAGGAGAAGAAAAGAGTCACCGACAATATAACATGGGGAGAGGGCGAAGCGATGGTGACGGAGGAATTTTTGGACAATGGCAACGGTGGCAGAGGGAACTGTGCACGAAAGCTAGACCGTCGGGCTCGTTCGTTGACGGTAGAGGAAGCGTCAGACATGTGCATCAACAGTGGAGGCAGTGGTTGTGCACGAAGGCAGTGGCAGGAGCAGAGGTGAATCAGGGCAACGAAGCATTTATGGGTTCGGGTCACCCGAAGGGGGGGTGGCGGTTTACTGTTTTGCTTAGTTGGTTCGATTGAACCAACTAAGCTAATGTTTAACTGAACTAGAGTTGATCATATGGTACGATTGCTTTGCTTCAATCGGGCACTTGCCCGAAACGCCCGACGCCTGGGTTCAAACGAGCGCCCAGGTGGCACTTCACTGAACCGCGTAGCCCGACTGTGTGAGGCGCTCGAGCCTCACCTCGCCTCGCCTCACCTCGCCCCACTTCACTTGAATACCTGAGCGCTTTTTAAAATTATTGTCATATAGAAGTGTGCTGGGGTTGCTATTTAGGCATTCCAAAACAAGTAGATAAATAAAGAACATAATCACCATTTATGAGTAAGAGAAGTGGGATCGTCCTGGTCTTGCTACAGATCATCTCATTGCAGAATTTTCTCAAGATTGAAAGACATGGTGCCATAATAAAATCTTTGTTCTAGTCTTGTTAGTTGACTTGACTGATTTTCTCCATCACGTGATTGATGTTCAATTGAGTGATGCATACAAACACAGGATATGAATTTGAATAAGTATCCAAAAAATCAAATGGGAAAAGCACTTGCCTATTTTGTTGCTCCTAGCACACTAACAGGTTTGAATTTAACCGATACTATGAAGTATGAACTTAATGTAGCAAAAATGTAGTGCTAGAGGGTCTTCATGGCGGATAGTCCACAGTAGGTCATATGAGTCTAAAGTGGATCACCAGTATTAAATCACAAACTTATACTATTAAAACAAAGTAAAGATTCAACCACCAAAGACCTAAATAGTTAACTACACATAAGGTTTGTGTATAATTCCTTTTTCTAAATAATGAAAAGTAGACGATATTAAAATAACATGTAACATAATAATCTACATTCTACAATCTATCAAAAATATCAATGTAAAACTAATCCAACAAGCTGTTGTAATTATAAAAATGAAGATAAGGAAGAAGGAAGAGGAATAAGAAGTCCAGAAAGAAGATAAATGTAGAAGAGGAGGACAAGGCAGTGATGGAGGAAGAGGAGGATATGTACTGGAGCAAGCCACAAGTAATGGCAAACGAGGCGCACAAACAATGGTGGACAATGAGAGCACAGGTAGTGGTGGGGGAGAGGAGACCCTCGTGTGAGCCCTAGCACATCGTACTTAAAAATAAAAGCCCAGTTTAAAGTGGACTTGGCCACACCTTCTGGTTTTACGCAATCCCCATCCTGGTCACTGGTCAGACACATAAATGCTAGTTGAACTGTATCAAACCATGCAAAATTAAAATCCTTGACAAAAAGTGTATCACTTTTATCCATATGTTTCTCATAAACCATGTAACCATATGCAGTACAATTTGTTGAGGGAAGAGAAAATAAAATGAAAAGGGAAAACGATAATTCACCGCCGTTTAGTTGATCATAGACAAAATGTATCTCTCATTGGAGTTTACAGCATTTATATGTCCAGAACTAAATCAAGGATTCCACATATACCTTTTCTACTAATATCCGAGCTCTCAAGCTTTGTCATGTGCAAGCCAATGCCACGAACTTCCTTGACATCTATATGAGAGTACTCATAGTCACACTCTTTGACAAAAGTGCATAACAAATCAAGAAAACTATCATAAACACATGAACTTCAACTTCATTTTTCATCACCCCAATGACGTAAAATACATTGATCGAAAGAAGACATAAGTAAAAGATGTGTTATTGAGTCTTGAGAGAAACTCCAAATATGTGCAATATGTGGCCCCAAACGCGTACCAATTTGACCCAGCGTAAAGAAGAGAGACCGCAATGGTTGTGGTGAGCATTGATATACACAATAGCCAAATTAAGACACTGATCTAGAAAAACTTAATTAAGACCTACCAAATCTAGAAAGCTTAATTAAGACCTACCAACATGAAAAGAAGCAAAAATCTGCTTGGCTATTCTCTGAAGTGCAACTACATTATCTGTGGCAACAGGTACCTGCAAAAGGATGAGTTAGTCGAGTGTCAGGGGTGTTTGTTGTGACATGTAAAGAGAAGGCATAACACCAAAGCTAGTGAGAATCGCCAAGAGTGTATAATTATATAGCACATTGTCAAAGGCATGTCAAAACAAAGTAGCAACCTACTACTGTGTTCATTATGTTTAGTAAATACCGTAATGGACCGGCTCACACTTTCACAGTCTCCACAGCCCATAAACTTTAATGGCTTTGCTGCTCCTTTCTTTCTTTTTTTTACCTAAAAGACACACTAAAGACGTTACAAAAACAAATCTTTAAAGCCCTTTGCATCTACAATTATCTTTGCATGGGGGAATACCTTTAATGTAATAGCACGTCCTTGCAATCCACATCCTTGCAGCCGCAATGAGACCTCCTTGCAGAGGTTCACAAGGAAATGATGACACTGAAAATACACAAAGTAACAATATCATCAAAACGGTAATAATGCAGCAGGAGGAAAAACCTAAAGAAATAATAATCTCTAATTTCTAGCTCAAAACCCACATCTGTGAGGTTATTGAACCTAATTCCCCAATTAACTTCAGCTCCGACGGATTTTCTTTCCTGAAAATAAATGTGAATTGCGAGAAAGTCAATACATGAGATAACTGATTGTCAAACTAGAAAGTGGCAAATGCACAATATGAACACAGCATGATAGTATTCATAGATGCCCACTAATGGTAAGCCTTCATGCCCCCACAGAGAATCATTGAAGAGATCTGCTCCGATTCTTTCTGTTCAAGTTGTACCATGGGAAATACTTATTTTTTAGTATTTTCAACACTAATCTGAGTAATTCTGACCAAGAAGAAATGAAAAACTGAAAACACAACTTGCATTAAAAAACAATTCAAATAACCACATGATAAAATCATTTAAATTCAACAAATTGTTGAACCATTGGCCATCTGCAGTTCCAGATGTGTTAACTCTGTGAAGGGAATCAGTAGTCTTTCCTTAACTCACTCTTTGAATTAAGTAATTGCTAATTAAAGGTGTGTCTGGCTGTAATGATAGAAGGTGCAGGAACTCACTTAATTGAAGTCAAATTCCAAGAACTACAGGGGTGGAAGTTAATTACTCATCATCTGGGTGGAAGTTGAGCCAGAAGTGTATTCCATTCACTTTATTTTGTTTGTTTGTCTGCAAGTGAACCCTTGAACTATAGCTTCATACACTTTTCATGTTTGGTCTATGATATGTCCCACAAGAAAATGAAGGTACAACCACCATTGAGAACAAAGAGGTAGATGCATTAAATCCAAGGAATAACTTACTTCAGTGTTATAAACTTTGTTTTTACTAGATCAATGACATAATAGATTATCCCTCAATATTAAGTAGAATATGTCAAAAATATTGTTCTTAAACATTTATTAATCTATTACTTAACTACTAATGATATGTTTAGCAGTTGCATTGAATTGATTTATTACTGAACTACAAGAAAAGTACATTGTCATCTATATGTTTACTAGAGAATCTTAATAAAATATTCAATACTAATTTCTACTATTTAATTATCTAAATAAATTGATTAATACCCAAATAAATACTAAAAATATGTTATCCTTTACTGTTTATCAGAACATACTAGGAGATACTTATTATTAAACTATTCACAGAGCAAAATTAAATTATTAATCTGTTAGTAATATATCCATTAATCACATAAATCTAGTCTATTGTTAATAATATATATATATATATATATATATATATATATATATATATATATATATATATATATATATGAGCAACATAATTTATCTACTAGTAATATATGAATGGCTGCAACCTTCATAGGGAAGAGAGAGAGAGAGAGAGAGAGAGAGAGAGAGAGAGAGAGAGAGAGAGAGAGAGAGAGGAGTTAAGCAACTGAAAGGATTCAACTAGCCATGGTATCAGATTTTGCCTGGATCAATGCGTATCAGGCAGTATCTACCAGTCCAGGCTTAAATCAGCATGAAGACCAGACTTTTTGCCAGTTCAGTCCAATAAGCAAGGTTCAAAAGTTCTGATAGATTTGCTGCCTTTTTCAGTATCTCTTTCTCCCAATCCCAACCCACCTCGTTCCACCCATTGCTTGCCACCACCACTCACTTGCTTGGTTGACACCACCACTCGCTTGGTACTTCTCCTGTGCTTCCTCTCCCCCTCTGAGTCTGCACTTTCCCTCCCCCTCCTCATCCTCTCCTCTTCTCCTCCTACTCCTTAAATATAAGAACAGAAAAAAGAACTGGGATTTTTCATTCAACATTTTATGTTTTCTTTAATCAAATTTATATGTATAGGCTAATAGCAGCTTGACCTGTTGTTTCTGTTTCTGAATCTTATATGTCAGAGTAACCCTGATCATGAAATTTGTTTCTTGTAGTTTTATCATGTATACCTAAAAAGTCAAAATAAATAGCGAATTTAACTAAAAAAACCAACTTGACAAGCCAGCTACTGGGGCAAATTGCCTCGTATTGTGCCAATAAGGTAACAACTGACACCAAGGAGTTCACCGAATAGAACCCCAAAACGACTGAGACCAAACATTTTCTTTCTTTTACTTTTACTCTCATTCCTTGCAGAAGTAATTAGCTAACCCAATTTTCTCTCAAGCAAATGGATCAAATAGGTATTGAACCTAAACCATGGCATCTCTCCTCATACGGGTTTGGGGTTTCCCCCACAAAGTCGTTGTATCCATCCTCGTCCACCATAGTCCCCTCTCCAAACTTGCCTGTTGTGCTGAAGTTGGAAACTTTTTCTTTTTCTTTATCCGTTCAATTAGATGTTTCCCCTTAAGCACTACAATGTTGGAAGGCAAATATATATTCTTTAGAGCAGCATATACCATGACAGCCATTGTCCGCTGTCAACAGGTAGTTTCCTGTGGAATTTCTCCAAATAGCAATAAAACATGCAAAAAGCACAGTGAAGTGGTGTGAATAGAATCAAAACGAAATCACCAGGAAACAACTTAAAGTCACTATGCTATAGCAGCTTATTGGAATTGAAAACATGATACCTAAGCATTATAAATTAAGAATATTCTAAATAAAGACTACGAGACTATAAAAAATGTGAATTAGATAATAGGTTATAGAGCATTCATTATGTTATCTTTCGACATAATTTCTTTTCGAAGTTGACACAACTTCATTTGTTGTCTTTACAAAATTATTTGCAGACCATTAACTTGAATACAACATTTAAAAGCATGTCAAACCTGAACAACTTCAACTGTTCGATTATCAATTCCTCGACAATAATTCCACAACATATCACCAATTCTTATACCAAAGTCCTTCTGTAGAGCTTCCTGGAAAAGAAAACACAAACATGTAAGTTGGACGGTTCCCCATTGTAGGTTGCACCCTGAAAGTAAGTTAGATAGAGATCATTTTAGTTTTAACCAGTCTTTGATAGCAACCATATACTTTGCAATTACTGGCTGGCAGTTATTACAAAGATATTTAACTTTGGTAATAACCATGTACTCAAAACTGAGAGTCAGACCAAACAATAAAATTGTCAGGTAATAATAGAATCCAGTTCTGGCAAATGATGGTTACATCCATTGTAAGAACTAAGAACTAAGAAGCATAAAATGAGAAGGGAACTAATAAGCTGGCATCATCAGACAGGAATTAATGAGAAGCACAAAAGTCATCCAAAAAGTAAAGGGATCAAGGCCTAGAATTTGTATCTCGAGTTCAGAAACCTGGCTGAACAACCTTGTCCAGATGCAAGTAACTAACTGCTTCCTCTATACGAGAAAAGACAAAAAGACATCCAAAGAAGTAACAGCCACTAGAGAAAGTGAAATGGAGGACTCAGTAAAGGATTTACAATCTCTCAAATTCTTGCTTACTATAGTGCTTCAACTAATTCAACTCTCTAGAGTGTAGACTATATCCATAAAATGCTTCAAGTTCCATGATTGTAATGATCTTATAAATTAACCGATTTTTCTATGAGGAGAGTGATAAAAATGGGCAAAATACCAAAAAAACTAAAATGTAAGATATCCTTTAGTTTTTTACATCATGTTGACAAAATATGAATAAGCCAGTCTCAAGAACTAAACTGCATTACAAACAAAACATAAACTTACGATTATAAAAACATATTATGACCACTAAAAACAATTAAAGATTAGTTCAGAAACCTGGCTGAACAACCTTGTCCAGATGCAAGCAACTAACTGCTTCCTCTATAAGAGAAAAGACAAAAAGACATCCAAAGAAGTAACAGCCACTAGAGAAAGTGAAATGGAGGACCCAGTAAAGGATTTACAATCTCTCAAATTCTTGCTTACTATAGTGCTTCAACTAATTCAACTCTCTAGAGTGTAGACTATATCCATAAAATGCTTCAAGTTCCATGATTGTAATGATCTTATAAATTAACCGATTTTTCTATGAGGAGAGTGATAAAAATGGGCAAAATACCAAAAAAAACTAAAATGTCAGATATCCTTTAGTTTTTTACATCATGTTGACAAAATATGAATAAGCCAGTCTCAAGAACTAAACTGCATTACAAACAAAACATAAACTTACGATTATAAAAACATATTATGACCACTAAAAACAATTAAAGATTAAACAAGGGTTATTATCCAGGTAAATGAAGAAAGAACCTTCGGTATCATGTACATCTGACCACAAGTTTGAATTTGTCTGCTCTTCAGCTTCTCATATGTAGCATACCCAATGCCTGGAAGTGCCATGACAGGAAGATCTTTCAAATAGTCCTCAACCTATCAAGCATGCAATTTGATTCCACTCAGAAAAAGGTTAATCTATAAAACCAACTATCCTCATGTACATAATAGATACCACCAGGCAAAAGTAAACAAATTTATATAACACTGAATTAGACATCGACCAGACTTTTTAGCATTGCACACAAATTCTAAAGAAGAATAACGAACATACCACAGAACCAGATTATATGTATGATTGTATTGGGCAGTATGACAGTACCAACACTGTTCCAGGCAGTACAGGCACTGGATCGGGTCATACCAATCCTGTACTGGGCAGTACAGTACAGGTCTTGTACTGGGCATACTGCCTGGTTTACACTGGTCTGTGCACTGCTAACCAATCGAATTTGTAAATATTGCCTGTATTGATTACAATCTCCTCGATTTAAGGTCTTGACACATCTTCATCAAGGCCCTAACAGAGCATAGAATCAATCCGTAACATGGTGTATTGGCTCCATACCATGGTGTGATCTCTGATCCCATCACATGTATGTCCATTCCTCTCACAATGCCTAACACTACGTCAACTTTGATACCATTTGTCACAACCCAACTTGATAGGACAACTGACCCATTAATTTCATTGACCTGAATCATTATCCCAAAATTAAGTCTAAGTTGACAATAGTACACATATCAAGCCTTTATAAATCACTTCAAGTCCTTTCACTCCTGTCCTATAGGGATAACTTGAGATGTTACAGTCCTACCTGAATACAGCATTAACATGCTTTTTATTCTACAGCAACATCTTAAACTAATAAATCTGACTGGTCTTTCTGTTAATAATTAAAAACTCTTCCTCTTCCATACACCTATCTGTCATTATATTCAAATATTTCGAGAGCATCTCCCACATAAACTGCGTTGAAGAGAGTTGTGTATTAAAGACATGCACTGATGAACTAATAGTACTAAACACCTGCTTGTTTGTGTTAAAATGGTTAGAAAAGGTAAAGGATGAAGTTTACATCCAATTTAGCTTACTAAATCGCTATTCAAGGTGAAAAGTGACATTGTATGTTCACAACTGCCTACAAGATCTTCTAAATGGACCAACGGAACCAATAGTATGTGTAATTAGACAATTCATCAGGTAATAAAAGAAACCTTAAATAAGAAATTTTTATGTGCTTATGGGAAAAAAACAAAGTGCTGATAAAACCAAAGTACGACAACTATCTTCAAATGTTCCTACTTTGAAATGAAAATATCCTCCTTTCCTGTAAAACTTTGTTAGAACTATTAAAAAACACTTGAAAGGAAAAAAGATAATATTTCATTCATAAACACAAACATATACTGATAAAAAAAAAGTATAATCTGAAATTCAAAATTTTAAAACTTGAAAAATTGTTTAGAATTTTGCAATAAATAGAAAAGAACAGCCAGCAAAGTCCAAATTCCTAAAAGTTATGTTTGAAAAAATTATTTTGATAATACGCTTTGACCTATATAAAGGTAAGAAGTCAATTCTTATGTGAATCCACAGTTCCTAACATGAAAAGCTATATTATTATAATATAATCAATGCAAGTTCATAGGCTTGCCTCCTTTCTGCAAAACTAACAGCACTCTCATGCTCGGAGATACAATAAACCAAAAGCTCAAGTCTCCTCACCGTAACATGATCTGTTGACACATATGGATTGTCCTTTCAACACCCAAAAATAATAGAAGAATAGTAAGAGAAGAGAAAAAAATATTAAGGAATCTGGTGAAGGGGTCTACAATTGGGCCTATAAATAGCTGAAAGGAAGAGGACTTCAAATTTACTAACTTCTAATAACATAAAGTTTCAAACAGAGATGAAGCATACATCTTAACAAATAAAAATATGCAAGAATCATAAATAAGTGAATGACTTGAAAATTTTAGGATCTTCAAACTTCAAAGAGTAAACCAAAATGCTAATAACAGGAATAAGAGGAATCAATCAAAACCTATCATGGAATCATAGCAACGCATAAAATATTTATCCTTCTTTGATGGGCAAAAAAACCAAGAGAAAATCCAGAACATACATACCTATAATGTATAAAGACAAAAGGATAACAGTCAAAGGAAAACCGTAAAGTGGATGATTTAAAAACCATGCTCAACAGTGATGAGCAAGTTCTGAGTTATTAAGGTATTAAATTTTGCAGGAATACTGACATTATCACAGGCATTAGGCAGCAACAATGGCCATCAGAAACCTTTTAGTAGTTATGGTCGAACGAACAGTACACTAATTTATCCAGCAAATACATTCAACAAAGAAAGCAAAATTCACATCCCTAAAGAAACAATTTGGCTTTATGATATTGCAACAATCTACTCCCCAATGTTCAAGGGGGAATTCACAGTGCAACTGCCTGCAAAAGAAGCATCAAATTTGAGGTAGACTGGTAAGCGAATGCGACCAACCTAGATTGGTCAAGGCATAATCAAGAACTAAGATTCGACAAAAAGTAGAAAAGAAGCTGAGCAACTTAGCTCCTAACCTGTATTTTTTTTTTTGAACTAGCAAAAGCAAAAAAAGAGAAGTACAATAATATCCTAGAATTGCTACTCATTTATGCAAACCTCAGCATGAAATTTGAGATTGAACAAGAACCACTTAGCATGCACTATAGTGTCAGAGTCACACCTCACCTTCTCAGATGGAATGAATCGTTGGCCATTTGGTTTAGCAGATCTAGTAGCCAAATAAGCCAGAAGCAAATTTCCAGCAATACCTGCACTGGCTGTGCAGCGGGTGGTATCTTCGATCTCCTTCCTAATCATTGATGCAATTTCTTCAGGATCGTCGTCACATCCTGTCACATCCAAAAATGCTTCATCACAGCTTAACGCCTGCATTTTCCCATCAAACATTGTTTTAGGACAAAAAATTAACAAGAGCAAAAGATAGAGAGAGAAAAAAACTCCAGGATTGTTGTACCACCCGAAATGGTACAAAACGGGTTGTACATACTACATACCAGTCCGGCCATGGGCTGGTACATGGACCACCCTCGTTTTGAACAGTCAAGTCCAGTTCAATAAAATATAAAAAAAAATCAAAAATAGCAATGGGCCCACCCAACTCGGCATTAAAAAATCCTCAAATAGAAATTAGGGCTTGCAAATGCGAGCCCTCTTCTCGCGTTCAACACTGTTGCCATCGCTGCTGCCGCTACTTCTCCTCCTCTTCTTTCTTCTTCCTCCTCCTCCACCACTTCTTCTTCCTTCTTCTTCTTCCTCCACCGCTTCATCTTCTTCCTTCTTCCTCCTTGTTCCTCCACCACCCCTTCCTCTTTTCCCTCTTTTTCTTCCTATCCGAAACACCATTACATACCAGTCACTGAAATGGGTCCAGTACTCAAAACAACAATCCTTGAAAAAAACAATTAGCTTTCTTGCTAAAACAGGCAACCCAATGCATAAAGTTCCTCCATACAGGGTCAAAAGAGAATCAATATATACAGTCTTAACCCTGTAAGTAGAGAGGTTGTTTCATTGACTCACCAAAATCTCAAAGATGCAAGGTTATTATGGCACCAATGGTTGCCCTCATTTAGCTTTCTTGTAATCATATTATTAATTTTTCTGTCAGTTGGGACTCAAAAGCAAGGTAAGCAATACCGAATACTACCGCCCGGTACGGGTGGTACGTACCGGTCCGACGATATACCGGTACGCGGACCGTCTGCTACCGGAC